AGTGGAATAATACGCATTATCCAACAAAAAGTCTCAGTCGACGATTAAATGTTTCATCATTAGGCTCATTAAGTCAACGGGTAGGTGCTCATAATAAGCCGGGCCGATTATGCGCGGATTTTTTTCAGTGAGTGCTAACCGTCGCGGTACAACCCTCAGTCGTCCTGTGGAGCGGGTGTTATAACGGCTTTCATGCCTTTCAAAGTTGTGTAAGTTTTTTCGTATGAATGTGATTATTCCCGAATGACTGTGAAACTTTGACCCCAAACCACTTTCTTTTTGGTGGCTCCTCAAATTAACCCACAATTGGTAAGTTCGAGGAGTCTGACCTTTATATTAGGAAACTCTGGCGTACATCGCAAAGGTTGGCCGATATGTATTGGCAAAGATGGGTCAAGGAAATTCTACCGGAGCTGCGGCCAAGGAAAAGTGGAACGAAGAACAGAAACCGCTGCAGGTGAGTGTCTTGGTTTTGATCGTCGATCCCAATGGGCGTCGTAACTTGTGGCAAAAGGGGCTAGTTGCACAAGTGTAGTCTGGTAAGGACGGCCGAATTCGGGTTGTTGACGTGAAGACGAGTACTTGCACTTTGCAGCGATCTGTGGCACGCGTTGCACCTGTTTCGTTGATAGATTAGTGCTGCTTCAGCACTAGGCGTAGGGTGTGTTAGCGACGTGGTCATACTCATTTTATTTTGTATTTTTTTATAAATTTAAATCGGTAGTGTTAAAATAGCGAACCGCCATTTTGTGTTTTCGTTGTTGCGTCAGTTCGCTACCGTCCGCGCTTAACGCAAGACCCGTATCGCATGTTGTACAATTTTGCTGTAAAAATGATTAAAAGTGTCTTTAAACTGTATTGGTGCGTGTCATTTTAACCATTGCAGGCTCCCACAGTGTACACGTATGTTTTGGAGTAATTTCCAAAAAAAAACAATGAATATCATGGTAATAAAACAAATCATAATGATCATTAAAAAAACAAAATTACAACATTATATCCGATGTTAGGTGACATATAAAAAAAAATTGTCAAATTATAGATAAATAGAATACATAAAGTAGATCGGAGGGAAAAGTAACGTCTTTTACGCACGTTTTTCTTACGAAACAGCTTTAATATAAACAAAAACGAAAAATTTAAAACATTATTCGTGTAAGCGAAAGATATTTTTTGAAAATGTAGAATTTTCAAAGTTTTGTGAGACGGGGGAGTGTTATTAATGTCCCCCAACCAAGTGCAAAGCGAACACCACTTACAGATAATTAGACCGCGGCCAAAATATTAAAAAAATACGAATGTTTTTATTATTAAAAGGGATCTCATTTTGGTCCTGTTTTATTGCGATTTCGTTCCAAAACTTCCGCGATTTATTGTTTGGTGTGTTATATTTATCTATATAGTACATTCATGTGAATACGAACATCAGTATCGTTACCTACTTTTAAAGGTGTCAATTGCTGATTCAATTGTATTTTTCATGGTTGCTACTTGTGGATTACCAGCTATGTCAATGGCGGCGTACTTGTAGTTGCAAGTCATGAAGTTTTTGATGGTCTGCAAGCATACAGTACAAATAATTATAATGTGTGAACTCACCTGGGACCCTACTCTCGAATGACCTAAATGGCCGTTTTCCCATTACTTTCAACCGGGGCAAGAACTAAGAATGTATGAATATTGAATGCGCGATTTGACAATTTCCGAACGGCCCCATTTTTTCGTTGACGAACTCCCAGAGTACTTCCGCAGGTCATCCATAGTGGGGAAACAGCGTGCCTTACGGATGTCATGCTTCGTGAGTAGGGCCCCTGATACCGAACTACAATAAGTACGTGATATTACTTTTCGGCATAATAGGCCCATACTGATAATTTGCAACCTCTGGAACAATTAGTGGAATACCGGAGCTGATTATCATTGATTTTATGTATAATGATTTATTCTAAACAGCGTTTCTTTACAATTAGACAGTTTCATTGATGGTACACAGGCAATACATAGGGCGCACTATAAGTTTCCGGAACTGGCCAGTTACTTACATAAACAATATATAAAAAGTAATTACAACATTCGAAAATGTTCTCGTGTTCCTATTTGAAAATGTTCGTGTGTCTCTGGCTGTAGAATACAGTTTGTTTCATCTGACTGTCACTTGTTTTTACATTGTGGCGTCATTTAAGAAATTGATTGTCACCATGGACTTAACTAGTGAAAATTTTCGTACTATGATTTTATACGACTTTGAGGATCGTATTCCAGAACTCTACTCAGTCACTACTAAGTCAGGATTTGAGCAGACTTGAGTATGATTTCAATCACTGGCAGTACGACCCTAATGGCAAGGGCTTGAGTATGATTTCTAGTGCTTTGAATCATACTTGAGTAGAGTTCTAGAATACAAACCTAGTGTAATTTAACAGCCCAACGGAGCTTCGCTCGGCTTCAAACTGCTTTTGGTGATGAAGCACCATGCAAGACGACTATTTATAGCTGGTTTGCAGAATTCAAAGGCGGTCGTGTGAATCTCAGTGACGAATTTCGTGATGATCGCCCGTCCACTGCTGTGAACAACAAAAACATCGATGCTGTGCGCCGTATGATCAAAACAGACAGACATGTAACATACCATGAGATTCGGGCTCGTTTAGGCATAGGCATGAGTCAAATACAATCAATACTACACAAACATTTGAGTGTGACAAAGCTGTGTTCTCGGTGGATCCCACACAATTTGACTGAGGTTCAAATAACGGATCGCGTCACTTGGTGCAATGCCATGCTTACCAGATTCAACGAAGGGGCATCAAATTTGGTGTAGAACATAGTAACAGGTGACGAAACATGGATTTATAGTTGTGATCCCAAAACAAAGCAGTAATCGAGCGTATGGGTCTTTCGAGATGAGCCGAAACCAACCAAAGTGGGGCGCGTGCAAAGTGCCTCTAAGCGGATAATTGCTTCTTTTTTTTAATAAAACTGGACACGTGGCTACTGTTTCTTTGGAAAATCGTTGTACCGTGAAAAGTGATAAGTACGAGACTATTTGTTTGCCGGAGGTTATTGACAAATTCCGTAAAAATAACCAGCACCACAATAATGCCAGTTCTCACACGGCCAGACTGACAAATGAATTTTTGAAGGTGAGATTTTTGAATTTGTGAGTTGTTTTTTGAGCCATACCGCGTACAGTCCCGACCTGACCTTTATCACTTTTATTTATTTCCAAAAATTAAGAACCAGATACGCGGTTAACGATTTTCGTCACCTGAAGAGGCTGTCGAAGAGTATGAAAAATATGTTTTCAGAGATTGTCACGGAGGAGTGGCATAAATATTTTTAAAATGGGTTCATTCGTATGAAAAAGTGCATTAACGCTAACGAAAAATATTTTGAAAAACAATAAATGCATTTCTGACTATTTATTGTATTTTTTTCTTATTCATTCCGGAAACTTATAGTGCACCTCACGTATTTTAAGCCGCCGTATTACATACATAATAAATCAAATACTAATTTTATGTCAACAAGCGTCCAAGAAGTCCGTTACTTTGCAATATTTTTGTCTTTAAGCCATACAATAAGTCTATTACTGAATATATAATATTAACCGACTTCAACTGTATCTTTTTTGTGCGTATGTTACGTGTTTACACCGAAATTTGTGAATCGATTTCGATGATTATTTTATTTCTTAGAAAGGGGGTACGTTCGTAGTGATAATGATCGAGTGCGTCTAACTGTCATGGCAAAATACACTCTATTTATTTGTATTATTAAATGTGTAAAATTAAATACACTCGTTTTAAATGAGCGACCCGGACACGCGGGCGAGTCTGGCTTGAATATAGTCTACGCGGCGGCATGTTGTTGCCTAGTAAATAGAATTCAGATACGCCGTTAATGCATATGAAAGCGTGGTAACTGGGCGCTCGCCGCGCGGCGGCTGCGCGAAATCTTTCGCCTTGTGTAACTGGACGCTTAGGGTGGTAAATTTGGGGATGAATCTGGTTTATTAAGTTTCACATACTAGTCAGAAACTAGACATAATTCCAATGAAAATTGAATTTTTATGGTAACATAAACCTGATCTGATGATGGAAATGGCAGACAGGTGAGAAGAACTCCACAAGTCGTGGGCCCGGTGGTAAGCGACTTGCCCGTTCATAACAGTTGCAGTGCCGCAAAGATCGGAGGGGCACTGCTACTGTATCCGTCTCCTAGAGATATAAGTTCACAAGTCCCATGTGTTTCTAATTTCACCAGCAAGCAAGGGTAACGGGCCCTTTCCAAACCGGAACGCAGTAATGCTCACATTACTGCTTGGCAGCACAAATAGATACGGTAGCAGTACCTCACTGGATATACGCTTTCACATGCCCCTAACCACATAAGAACCATTACACATAGGAGATGGAAACATTTTTTCGGATCTAAATTGCTTATATTAGTTTTTTTTGTCACGGCTGACCATGACACGTTGGCTTGATAGGTATACTCAATTTGAATCTGAAAAAATGTTTCATTGCCTATGTGTGACAAGCGAATTTATTCTCAGAAGCCTCTTCTTCTTGCATTTCTCAAATATATTGAACAGCATCGGGACTATAAAGGTATAGGGCGATAGTTTTAAACAGATGTTCTTGCGCTTTTTTGCATACACACACAACAAGTTGACAAGTCTCATGTGCCTGTAATTTCACCAGCACCCTTACCTTTCAAAATCCAGAAAAAGAACTAGAAGTCTTCACTAAAATATCCTCCGGGATATCAATACCGAGCACGGCGCTGTGCAATACCAAAGTCATATTGAACGAATTTGTGGGTATATAATTTTGTGTACGAAATATGTTTGTGTATCCGTTATTTAAAAGTCTAAATAATTATTTATTGTTACATTGCGCTGTAGTTTGTTCGTCATAGTTACGTTAAATAAATGAATAAACATTCACGGCGCCAAGCTCGGCCTGTGCAAAACCGTATACGACTAATTACTTTAACTACGAACAATAAAAGAAAATATTTAGTTTACAAACATCATCAGACAGCTCAGCGCTTTTGTATGGATTATGTCTAATTACGGACTCGACAGGGTCGCTGCAGAAATCACTCACAGCAATCATAACCACTTCCGTGAGAATTGCCAGAAGACAACAGAAAGCTATCATCCCCAGAGCCACTTTCTGGAACGATAAAGTATAATCTTATTTTATGTGACACCGGTGAATCTGTTAAAATAATCCTCGAGGAAATGATTTCAGGATAATGATTGGGTTAAGGGACAAACAAGATGCACATCTGGTGGTAAGCGACACAGCTACTCACAACAGTTGCAGTGCCACTTAAAATTTATAATCGCAAAGACCTGAAGAGCACAGCCACTGCGCCCGTCATCCTGAGATATAATAATAATAAGGCGAGAGTCTAAAATAGATATAATAATACTAATAATAATAATAAGTGATAGTGATGGTGATGGTGATGGTGATGGCGACGGCGACGCACGGTGTTTCGTGTAGAACAAGCTAGCTGGACAAAATTGACATTAACATTTCCCAGAAAGGTTAATTACGGTAAGTAGGATATTAGTTGCTAATCACATCGGTAAGTATGATTTTTGCACTAATGACATATATTATTAGTAATAAGCATATGTATATAAGACAACCAGAAAAAAGCATAAAATTAGATGCATTTTTGCTCTTGATATGATAACGTCTCCTGAGTTGATTTTAAAAGTTGTGTTTATTTAAAGTGATGGATTCAGTAGCCAAGGGTAAGTGTTATTTTTTAGTACCATTATATTCGAAAAGCAATAAGGCATTTAATAGGAAATGTCTCGCAAAGTTGTTAAAGTAACTTTTTTTTACATTTTTCAAATTCAAAAGACTAAAACTAAAAATCCCCTCTTCTCCCTGGATCGATATTTTTTCCTGTGATAGGTACAGTTTTCTAGTTTATTATTCAAGTGGAATTTCTTGCTCGAAAAGTGCCCTTTTTTATTATCTTTTTTTTTTTGCAGAAAGCAGTTTCACTGTCTCAAAGAGGGGCTTTTTTGAAGAATGGGTGAAACACTCAAAAAATGACCGTAACCAAGCTATGTATCATCATATATGCTTACTACATGATCTGAGTGGTATCACAGACCAGTCTGTGAGAATGATAAAGGAGACAATTTCGCGTTTTTCCTCAAAATTATTGGAAAAATGGGAGAGTTCCAGAAGAATAAAAGACCGCTGTCTAGCTACTAATGCAGAGTGGCTAGAGGGCGAAGACATACATTTTGATGTGTCGCAAGATATGGTGGAGGCATCCACTTCTTCCCAATTGCCACCTGGTGTGGGAAGACCATTGGTAGACTTGACAAACGCAAGTGCCAAAACAAAAAGATGATGTGTTGACGATTTGGTCAAGAGTAGAAGTTCTGAAGAACTAACAGCGGTTGCTGAAATTTCTTCTCGGTTATCGGGAAAGAGGAACGTAGCCAAATTAATTAAAGGAGTCAGTGAAAGCCCAGAAAAGTTCATTGATTTTCAAAAGTGTAGTGAACAACATAAGCAACAAAGGTCTTTGACAAGCGAGGAGGCTCTGGCGTACTATGTGGACGCCAAATCCACAAGTCATACCTACAAACAGACACGGAAGTGGAGTATGCTAGCTGGGCATCAGGTATTTCCATCATTTTATTGTCTTAGAAAAGCCAAACAAGCCTGTTTACCACCAAATGAACTAGTGACAATAACTGAAACGCGAGCCGAAATTCAGCTGCAAGCCTTATTAGATAAGACTGCTCAGCGGTAAATATCAGCGCAACGTGAGGTTATTGACACTTGTTCTTCTGGTGGTGACTTAGCATTCACTTTAGTTAGCAAGTGGGGTTGTGACGGAAGCTCTGGTCACAGCACGTACAAACAAAAATTCGCCAATATAGATGATACAGATGAATTTCTGTTTGTTTATTCACTTGTACGTATACAATTGCAAGATCAACAGGGTCTGCAACGCTTTGACCGAAATTCCGTCAGCACAAAAATGTTATATTTGTGGAGCTACCCCAAAACAAATGAATGAAGAGTCCAAGGAGTTCGTGGCTAACAAAGACAACCTGTGTTTTGGTTTATCGACATTGCATGCTTGGATTCCTTGTTTCGAAATTCCTTGTTTCGAATGTTTACTTCACATAAGCTATCGTATTAATGTAAAAAATGGCAATTACGAGACGTAGACGATAAAGCTCTTGTGAAACAACGTTCTGCAGCGATTCAAGTACGTTTTAAAGAAGAAATGGGCTTAAATGTAGATAAGCCAAAGCCGGGGTTTGGCAATACTAATGATGGGAATACTGCTCGTAGGTTTTTTGCAAAGCGTGAGTTAAGTGCTGAAATTACAGGATTAGATGTGATTTTGATAAAGAATTTCGATATTTTGCTAAGGACACTTTCTTCCGGATATGACATAAATTTAGAAAAATTTCAACATCTAGCACAAGAGACAAGAAATCTCTATTTGAGTCTGTATTCGTGGTATTACATGCCTGCAATTGTACATAAAATACTTGTACATAGTGTAGAAATAATTCAATAGGCTTTTTTGCCAATCGGGCAGCTGTCTGAAGAAGCTCAGGAAGCTCGAAATAAAGATTGCAGAAGATTTCGAGCGGATAACACACGAAAATATTCACGTATAGCCACGAACACAGACTTACTTAATATGTTAATAATTACATCTGATCCTGTGATTCAGCCTCAGAGATATTCCGCAAAAGAAGTCAGGTTCTCTTCCTTCCTGAGTCTTAGACTTAATTATTTCAAGTCTTCCTAAAAGATTAGCTGCTGTTGAATCTAGCACTAGTCACACAGATTATTGTGTTGAAGATTCTTCTGAGGACGAGCTCAGCGATGACGAATGAGCTTATTTTCAGAATACAATTAAGAAATGTTCAAATAATAGATAAGTTGTTTGTAATATATTAGTTAATTAGTTATAATTTAGTAAGTCATTTGGTTAATTATGTACACATTGTGCTAATTTATATTTATTGTAAGATAATGTATTGGTTATAATAACTTTGTGTTTTTTTTTTCTATTTATTTCCTAAATAAAATATGTTCTTTCTAATACGCATTTCAATGTCTAAAGTACCTGTTTTAGTAGATTCTGGAGATTTTTAACAGTAGAAATGTTGATAGATGCACTTAGAAGAGGCATTCGAAACGAATTGCAACCGAAAATAATTTTGTCCAGCTAGCTTGTTCTACACGAAACAGAGTGCGACGGCGACGGCGACGGCGACGGTGACGATGACGATGATAATGATAATAATAATAATAATGATAATAATAATAATAATAATCTTTTAGGCCTTGGGAGAGGCGAGAGTCCAAAATAAATATAATAATAATAAATAATAGTAATATAGTTGATTACCCCTCAAAACCTGAAAGCAGTAATGCTTTCGAAATATATATGGTTAGTACTATCCTGGACAAACTCCTTCACAAAGAGCTCTTCTGCTATCAAAATTAAATATTAACCAATGATTATGTGATTGTACATTGCTATGGTACTCCATCCTCGACAACGAAGGAAAAGTCCGTATACCATCAATTTTAGCTTACAAACACTTGTAGAACCGAGCTTTAGACAGCGATTTGACCTCACGAAAACTTCATTGGTGTACTCCTCCTAACTATTGAGTGAATTTATCGGTTTTTCTGACATAGCGTTCAAGAAGGAACCCAGATCAAAGTTATAGAACCTCTATTAGAGCGTGAATGTGAGTTTTCTGCTTAATAACTATCGCAAACTGTTGTGTTTTATTCCTTTTTGACATATTCGTAAAACTGATTTATAAGTGTACCTATATAATTATTAACGTTCAATCGGCACGAGCCTACCAGAAAAAGCTTTATGCCCACTGAATAAGATACAGAAAAAAAAGAGCAAAAAAGAAGTTGCATGGAAGTGAAATAACTCGGACCGCCAACACAAGATCTTTTCGGTTTTATTACACGAACTTTTTTCTGAAAGACTTAACGTGATCTCGTGTAGACACGTGTGATATACTAAATAAGCTCCAATTTGGACTTAAGTGAAGATATGACACATAAATCGAGTTTCATTTCGGGATTAAGAGGTGAGGTTATGTGAGGTTTTTTCGTCGGTTTTTTTGTAGAAAGGGCGAAATCAAAATTTTTCAGGTGGGCGTGTTTTAGGTTTTCAGGACTGGAAAATAAATGATTATCACTAATTTCAGGCTTCTTACCACGGTATGACTTCTTTTTATTTTCCCGATATTTCGGAACGGTTGCACGCTTCATGGTTACGGGTTGACTGGACGGCGCGGCAGATGACAACTTTAAGAGCAGATATATCTGTCCACCCTCTTGCGCTGTCTACGACTACTACCTCCATCGCGATTTGTTGTGGCGTTACCATTGTCACTCACTTTTTTCACACAAACCACACTCACTGTATCCACACGCGAAACCGAACTCGAGGTGTTTATGTTTTTATTACTGCACGCACTAAGGACCGGGTTCCATAAACTGGACAGTTTGTAACCATTTTAAATGTTTTGTACTTCGTGATCTCGATGGATTCTCGTACAACCGTGGTGTGTAGTTACGTTCTGTCGATGGTACCTGGGGGCTATGCAAGTCAATCCAGTGGTTAGTGTCAGTCTGTGTGAGATGTTGTGCTATAACCGACTTATGTGCATCATTGTTTTATACTTCTCGGATGTGTTCCTTCATACGATCGACAATTGTTCGTTTAGTCTGACCGATATACGAGATCCCACAACTGCAGTTCACTTTATAGCCACCCGGTGTTTGTAAAGGAAGGTGGTATTTTGGTGAACGTAACATTTTTCCTATTTTGGTTAAGGGGTGAAAACAGTTTTTATGGAAAACTTCCTTAGCAACCTGGCTATTTTATCTGTCACCCCTTGTACATAGGGCAGAAAAACTGGTGGTCTATGTTTTAAAATATTTACGCCCTCTTAAAATTCTATTTTGGTTTTAATTGAGTTCAAGTTTTAAAATTGACTTTAAAACTGGACTTAAATAAAATTTTCGTGAAAAAGTAACAATGCTCCCTTGAAAAAAAATTCGAAATGCGCTTTCGCTTTTTGTACAAAACACAATCGTTGTGCAACGACTTGTCTTCCAAGTGAAGCAGGCTTGTCCAGGCGCATAAAATTTATATTTATCGGAAACTATCTCTATCCATCGCGAGAATTCGATACCAATGTTGATAACAGTTAATTTGTGCATTCAATCATGTAGACCAATGTTTGACAACAAAAAAATCTTGTCTCACGATGCTAATGATAAAATTCCACCTTATGTCGAAACCCTTAATGAAGAATGGTATAAGTGGAGTTACGTCAAAAACGTTTATTGCTGAATTAGATACAGAACAATATAACCCACATCATCACCAATTCTCGTAACTCTATCGACTAATATTGTAGGAGTTACAAGAATTGGAGAGGATGTGGGTTATATTTTTCTGTATCTAATGGAGCAATGAAAATTTTTGACGTAACTACACTTATACCATTCTTCTATGAGGGGTACGATGTTATAATTAGTAGATATAGCGATCGGTTAACAATTGTGCGAAACATTTTATATCCAGCTTAAAAAAATTAAATTGACGAATAAGTTACACTTACACCGACTATTACTCGTACTTGGTGTAATACCTCATCGTCCTCCATTTGTTCCCTAAACTGTTCCATGACTAGCAACCCAACAATAAATACAAGTATAATTAACCAGCTTATTACACCAATCGCCGTTATGATCCCATCAGCAGTGGAGAGACCGATCTAGAAAATGAAGAATATCAAATTGGCACTTAGTTTGTGTCATTTATGTAAATAATAAAATGTACATGTACCGCCCATAAATCACAAATGACCTGACTCTATGGCCGAACAGTTATCATGCTGGGCTGTCACGCAGAGGTCACGGGTTCGATTCCCGGGCCGGGAGAAATATTTGTACGGCCTATTTATCTTTTCTAAGTAGTGAAGTCGACGCTAAAACTCAATGAGCCTGTTTTGTACTTCAAAGACAACGACTTGTGTACCGCGGCTTTTGAAATGGTACTTTTGTTATTCTGAGGCTTCTCAATTTTTAACGAAAATCTCAACATTTACAATTTTTCTTTAATTAGAATTTAGTAAATGAAGAGCAAAAACAGAACCCTTACAGCATCATTTCAATGTCTGGGAATTCATTTTTCTGTTCAACAGTTTTGACGAAAGATGTACATTAAATACAAAAACAATTTTCTATTTTTTCAGTTTTGTTAATTGTTTTTTTGGATTTTAAATGAGATGTAACAGACGCCTTTTGATAGCTAGCTTGCAGTCAGTGTGGACATAAAAAGTAATATTGGAACATTTTTTTACACACAGTATTACAAAACGTGAGTATCTTATAGCCCAGCACACCTGTCGCCATCTTACCATTCAACGGAGTATATTGCTCCATGCTGCATACATATTCGTGATTTTTTTTTTGCTTAATTTTCATTGCACACATGTAACGATTCGCGAAAATACGCTGATACGCTGATGCGTTTCCAAATCATTACTTTCTATGAATAACACCAAAATTGATCTTGTGGGATCATTTTCAATAAGACCTGTCATTGGACAATGAAAGTGTAATTGTCCAGGTCCAAAATTTTGGAAATAAGCGTCCTAATGAAGTTCATAGAGAATGCTGGTAACAAAACTACTTGATAACCGCTCACGCGATACATGCAGCCGTAGACGCATACCACACCTAGAGGTGCCGGTGATGATTTTATACCGATTTATCGGATATCGAAGTTATAACAGGTAAAAGAACTAATATTAATTGATTTATTTAGCAATGCAGAATAATAATTTTTATTTATAAAAACTTGTATTTAAACTGAATCCTTTTCTATTTTGCGAAACCAAATAGCCGCCATTTTGCGGTAAGAGGAGCGCGTCGCGTGAGCGGTTATTAGTAGGTATTAATTCGTGTATTTGCTTCAGTACTTCTTATTTGTAAAACGCTTGCCTCCTTTGTAGGTGGCAGTGATACTATTACTCGCGGTGGTCTTGCACCCCTGAGTCTATGAATTATAACCAAATGTTTTAAATAGTGAAGAATAAAGTAGTGAAACCTGAGTACCTGAGCCTTTTGTTTCATTATGGTGAATTTACTTTCAACATCATAGACTAAAGCAATAAAACGACTCTTGCCATTCTCGATTTGGCTAAGAATATTTGAGACGTATTGAAGTGATAAACCAAATTTTTCTAAGAACGATATCGCGCCGCGCAAGGCGGCGATGTGACCATCCACGGGTTGCAGTTGTTCGCGTAAGTAGTGTAGCTGAAAGAAAAAGAATAATTTTCATAGGTCCATAAAAACCTCAGAAAGGTTTAAACCAAAATTGCCGTTTTATTTACGGAAAATGGCTCTTTGCCTCCTTAAGGACGTCCAAATGTTTCCAAACATAAGGTAAATGAGAGAAATTATCATGATAACGACTAACAGCTGCAATATGATTGGACTTCCTTGTTACATGTTATATGATGTAATACGAGATGGAAGTATACAATAGTTATAAATAGAAATAATGGCTTAATTTAATTATTAAGGCATTTACATACGGAACTATCACTGTTGAGTTAAATTTTTTGGAGGTGTAGCAGAAAACCGAACAATATTTTCTGATAACAAGTAAAAATTACTTGTTAAACATGTTTGTTTGTCAGTTTGTATTGTTGCATGTCTGATCTATAAAGCATTCTTCGAGAATTCCAACAGTCATAAAGAGTCGATCTTTAAAAGGCAAACTGAAGGAAAAATTTTCGAAAGTCTGAAGTCGTTACAGTCCACTATAAAGACGCCTATGAAGAGGATCGCGCACAATCAAGACGTGAAAACCATGGACCGTAAGGTGTTATGTCCTGTATGAGGCTGCGTTTTCACCAGAGATGTGCGAGGTACCTAGGTGGTGTGCGAAGAAAAAATCCACCAATTGGATTACTTTCTTTTCCTAGCCTCGCTTAGCGCAGCTCTGGTGGAAAAATGCTAGCGGAGTTAAGTATTTGTGCGTACAAAAAAGCGCGAGATGTGTACGAGGAATGTGTACGATAGAGGCAGGAATGTGTGCGAGGTACGCGAGCTCGCCGTTGCCTCCGCTCACACCACCACACCGCACCCTACACGCGCACAGCTGTAAAGATTTCGCTACTTATTTTTGCATCACTCGGCTACACACCGTTTCACAGCTTCGCTACGCATCTTCGCACTACCTAGCTCCCTCACACAGCTTTGGTAGATTTGCAGCCTTATGCTTTGAGGTTTTTTTTATATAAAATAGACACACATTTGGCCACAAACTTATCTGATGTTAAGTGACGATGATAGTACACGTTTGTCTAAAAAGTACCAATACACTATACCATTGAATGGTCATAAATTGCACTTTTTGGGAAGCATAGACAATACTATGTACGCATGGTAAGTACATTATAATAAATAAAAAAAAAAAAAATTAAAATTAAAGAGTCTTTACAATCTCAAATGGCTACAGTTGATTCTGCATAACAGTGAAAGTGATGAATCAATTACATTGGAAAAAATATATGGTCGATGAGGATATATACTGATTATTTATACGGTGTGAAAACATGCTTCCTAAAAATTTTCACGATAGAACAAATAACACAAAATTACCTCTAAATTTTACAAGAAAACCACTGTATTCAATAGGTACTTCATATATACCCATGATTTTTTTAACATCATACTGGAGACCAGGAGACGACTAAGCTGTTCAACTATCTCTGCAGCTCAGCGGAAACAGTCCAACAACGGTATCCTAAAATGCAACTTGTCTTTTTGGGGGACTTTAACGCCCACCACCTGGAATGGTTGTTCCCATACCAAAAAAACCGACCACACTGGAAGAGAGTCACGGGCATGTGCTCTATCGCTCGACCTCACCCAGCTGGTGAGTTGCGCTACCCGGGTACCGGATGTTGATGACCATACAGCCAATTGTCTGGATCTTCTGCTGACAACTGATCCAGACCGCTATCAAGTATCGGTTTTGTCCCCACTAGGGACATCCGATCACTATCTGGTGAAATCTGTATCTGTCTACTCCCCATCCGATCTCATTACGAGAGGTACTACGAGGATGTTGCCATACAAGTCAAAAGATTGGGATGCGATGCGGCATTTCTTTGCATCTGGCGGCAGGTGTGCTTTTCTTCTGACGATCCAACGTGCTGCGCGTCTGCCGTCTATAAGGTTATTATTATTCGGGCTGTGGAATACTTTATTCCGTATTTCGAAGTCTCCTCCAGCCGCAAAGCTCACCCTTGGTTTAACGCTGTGTGTGCTTCTGCGGAAATACACCAGGCTTGGGCTGATGCTCGAGATCGCAAAGCACCAGAAACCCTCCGTCTGAAGAAAGCTTTTAATAAAGCCGCTAGATCCTGCAAAAAAGCGATACGGAATGCTCGCTTCGGCCATATTAGTCGTATTGGGGCCAGGTTAGCTTTATACCCTTCAGGGAGCAAAAAGCATTCTGGTCGCTCGCTAAATCGGTCGAAGCAAATTTCTGCAGGTCATCCCTTTCGCCTTTAATGAGAGCTGACGGATCGCTGGCTCACACCGCTGAAGAGAAAGCAAATCTTTTTGCTTCCAAATACCGTCTTGACGCTACAAGGAACTAACCTTGAGCTACTTGGTCTGGACTTATCATCCAACCTCAATTTTGGGCGATATATCGAGTGCTTGGCAAAAACTGCTGGCAGAAAACTAGGCATACTTTACAAGGTCAGGCGGTACTTCACACATGAACAGCTTTTAAATCTGTATAAAGCACAAATTCGATCGTGTATGGAATACCTTTGGGACGGGTCTGTCCATTACCAGTTATATGCCTTGGACTCGGTGCAGAGAAAACCAAAGAGATTTATTAACTACAATTCTCTTGTGGAATCGAATCTACAAATTCTCGACCATCACAGAAAAGTAGCCTGCTTGTCTGTTTTCTATCGGATACATTTCGGAGAGTGTGTGCAGGAACTTTTCAATTTTGTTCCACCCTCACCGTTCCATATCGGTCGACTAGAAAATCCGGAGCACTCCATTCTTATGTCGTTGATATTCCACCTATTCGCACTAAGAGCTTTGCTTCCTCCTTTCTGATGCGAACGGCAAGAGAATGGAATGCTCTATCTGTATTTCCCGAAAAGTACTAAATTTGGGGCTATTCAAGGCTATAGTGAATAGACATTTTTTAGGCAAACGCGTCCCATCGTCGGTCCCATCTTCGGTCACATCATCGATTAACATCAGCTGAGATTGTGGCCAAGCGTGTGTCTATTATATATTAAAAAAACATCAACTGAACTAAATAAGACACGTAAATTATATGATACACATTTTACAAATTTCGTATATAAAAAAATAAATTTTGAAATGAAGCCAATGTCCCTGCCGCTCGACCCAAGCAAAATGAACCGTATTAGTACGGCAAAAATTAATTCTATCCTTGCTCTGAAGCCAACAGGAATTCTCTAAACTAGAAGATTGTTTAACAGTAGCATGCTAGACCCTATCAAAAGCCTTTGAATATCGAGAGACATTATTATAAAGTGTCGGCACGACGACCTTTCCTAGATAGAGGCTGTATATTTGCAAGCTTCTATTCACGTGTCCAGAATTCAAAGAAAGGCGATAAAGACGAGTCAGCACCAGAGATAACTCATCAGGTGCATAGTTCTAGGAATCCTGTCATTTTAGAATCGCCATGACGTCAAGAAATAAGATAAACTCAGTACCTTCAGAGTACTAAAAAAACCGACCTCAAAAGTTCGCGTGGAATTACATTTATTTGTCAAGTTATATTAAAATCGGTTACCAGAAAGTGCGCAAGCTCGGATTCATCCCATAGTTGGCCACTATACGGGACTTGACACAGGAGATAACAAAAATCGGTGCTCACTGCTTAAAGTATATTGAGAGAGAAAAACGCTTTGAAATGGAGAATAGCAAAATCAATCATTAAAATAATAGCTCCTTATAATAAAATTTAGGCGCTATTTATAAAAATAAGTCTTCATGCGTGAACAGCCTCCCTTAGAGATGGATGAGTTTCTTTAAAATTAAATGGGACCACTATGGAGGTCTTTCCAATAAAAAAGAATCATCAAAATCGGTTCACAAATATTAGTTTTCGCGAGGTATCGCGTAACATACATAAAAAAACATACAGTCGAATTGAGAACCTCCTCCTTTTTTTGAAGTCGGTTAAAAAGATATCTTAAAATAAAAATAATCGAAGAAAGTGAGGCGAGAAGGAACGCAAGTAGATACGTAAATAATAATTATTAGAAGTGAAGGCGCTTTCTATTCAAAAACTTAATTTACTTTTTTAATTAAGTTTTATTGAATGTCAGGATGTTTCACCACCACAATAGTCAATTATTTATTTGTGAAATTACTCCACTAGTTTGTTATAATTATTAAAGAAAGATTGAACACTTAGAAAATATTCAATTCGATCTAAGCCACGGAACGAACTAGCGGACCTCACGAATAAAGTTGCAGACCTTTATTTTTAACAACTTTTTGTCGCAACGCCTTGTATGATAAATCTATGAAAGTTTTTCTTCATCTTAATTTACTCTTATTTTTAATAAACTTGTACAAACGCGGAACACGTTGAGTGACTCGTATACGAAGTTCACCAATTTTTGTAAAGCACACTCCTCGACTCGTATACGTAGTTCACCAATTTTTGTAAAGCACAACAGTCAACCGTGACCATGGGACCTGTAAAAGGCCCGAAACGTCGGTTTGTTTGAAAGAACAAATATACGCGATTTAAATCCGGAAAAATAGTTTCATTTCCTATGCACAACAATTAAATTGACCGGTGATAGCCCAGAGGGCGTTCGGTTGCTTCGCAATTGAAATATCGTCGATTCGAATCTCGATGGCAGCGTATATTTGAGGAAATTTAATAACAATGCCTTATGAGAACTGTTGAAGAAATGGTCGTGATGATACCTGAATGTCGACGAAACGATACGAACACGCGAAATGTCCAACAGTCATTAGGCCTTGGTGGCTTAGTCAGCTATGGCCCCAACCCTCTCTTTAGAGAACCGAGAGGATCGTGCCAGTCATATGACACCTTATACAGGGAGAGTTAAAAATTACTTTGTCTATGATGTAATTGAGATGTTTCACAGTTGGGTTCAAGGTTTTTGTCCTCATACGTTCTAAACCTGTATGAATTAGAGACAAGCCGATAATTGCCACAATACTGCTTATAATGCATAACGCAAATACAGCTATCAGGATAACCTGAAAAAAAAAGAAAGACAACACATTAATGCATACTCTGGCACAATTTAACACTTGTTAATATTATTACTTTAATGTGATGTCCAACTACGCTATATAATAACGATAAGGCGAAGAATTATGTACGAGTATATTGAATGGATATTCAAATAATCTAAACAAATGCACCTAAACCATTGACTGACAATTATACAGACGTTGGGTCCGCGCTAAAAAGTGTCCGAACTTATAGGGCGTTAAAATCGTATACAGAGCGTCATTCACGCTTTAGTCTTCGTTTGTTCGACTGACAGCGAAGCAAGCAAAATTAGACAGTACTGCGATGACATTCCAATTTAAATTCAACGTTTTAGCTTTTTCATATTCCTTTACATGTCACTACGTGTACAGTACGATTCACGAAAGATGACCACAAATGGCGGCCGTCTGCGCACGTACACTCATGAAGAAAAGACTTATGACAATATAATATTTTAATTTTGGTTTAATAATTTGTGTAATGTTGTAAACGCTGGTTATGCAAATAAATCAAACGTAAGTAATTTTAAATGTTTATTATAATAAATTGAACCAAAAATATAAAAATTTGTAAAACACATTTAGTCGCTATCGCTATTCTCAAGTTCCATGATTCCCTCTATCATGGAACTTGAGGGAATCGTGGAACTTGAGGAACTGGGGCCGGGTTCCATATTAAAGTCTTCATCTTCCGATGATTCGGGAAAATCCACATCTGTCAAATCTTCGCTCTCGTCAGATTCTCCCACACGTATAATTAATTCCTCCGTAAGAACATCCACGATGTGGTCACTTTTTATATAGCTTTCTTCTATAGATTTTACTTTGTCACATAGTTTTTTCCATTCCTCTGGTCCCATCAGATTCACTTTTTCTTTAATTAAATCTATAACGCAGCTAATATTCCACTTTACGTTTTTACTACTCACGTAACCCTTTATAGAGGCCCAAGCCATTTCTATGGGATTTAAATCCGGGTGGTACGGTGGAAGACGGAGAACATCGTGACCATTTTCCATCAAAATTTTGTCAACGGAGTATTTCTTTAAACGAGGTTTGTTATTTTTTATTATATCGTACAATTGAGGTTTCAACATATTGGAATCAAAGCTGATTCCATTTTTGGTAAGCCACTCTTGCATGTCGGATTTTCGGGAATTAGATGTGGGAGCCATATCATATTCTTTATTGTGGTATGGGGCGTTGTCTACCACAACAACGGAGTTCGGTAGGAGATTGGGTACCAATAGAGTTCGAATCCATTTCTGGTAATTTTCAAAATTCATGTCGTCATGATAATCTCCTGATTTTGTGCCCGTCTTGAAAGTTAATAATGCATTTGGCACAAATCCAGCCTCTGAACCGGCATGAACGATAACGACACGTTGGCCTTTTGAGATAGGCTTTTTCAGACCTGCTGTAGAACCGTCAGCCCAGCCCATGGGTTTTGCATGTGTAGCATGGACGTACGATTCATCAGTATAAATGATTGGTCTATTTTGTCTTCGATATTCTTGGAGTTTTTTTAGGTAATTGATTTGTAACAACCGAATAGCTGATGTTTCTATTAAAATATTTCGGTTATTTTCTGTTTTTTTCCACTTAAATCCAATTCTTTTTATTAATCGACCCAAACTTGTTTTGGATCCTTTAAAGTTAATATCTTGATGTAATTTTGCTCGTAACTTTTCTAAAGTTGGCAATTCTTTTTCAATTAAATGAAAGTTATGAATACATCTCTTAATTACCCCTTTGTCAAAGGCGTCAACGTCGGAGGCAGGGTTACGGCGCGGTCTCTTTTTACCAGGGGTTCTAAAAACCACTAAGAACGGTGAAGATTTACTTTCTTTTATAATTCTTTGTACTGTCGATACAGACGTCTTTGTTGCCGCGGCCGTTTTTTTGTAAGCTTCGAGTATTTTAAAATCTTGTGAAAAATATTGAAACACGTTGTACACCAAACTTCTCGACTGTCTATTCAAAGTATTGCCTTTTCCTCGCGGCATTGTAAAATAGCAAATAAGTTCAACACAATAACAAATCTCAACAAAAAACTTAACAAAAACGAAAACAACAAATAAAAAACAATTTAAAACAAAGAAACACTTCTTTTCGACTGTACTCGAGAGCAGTGTGAGCGCGTCGACGCCGCGATAGACGAATAGCGACTGAGCAGTCTATCACGAGACGCGCGCGCACCAATGGCGTCGCTCCGATCTTGACGCATTCCGCCCGCGCCTCACCTCGCACCTCCAAAGAGACCTAAAATATGCCTTCTGCGCCGTGGTCATCTTTCGTGAATCCAAGTGTAAATTGGTTGACTTGGGACATTTTTTTCATGGTTTTTGTATTAAACCCGTCGTCCGTTTATTTGCAAGTCAATGTATATATTGTAACATCACATTGCTGTCATATGTATGGAATACTATATTCCAAAGGTAAATACATATTCAGCTCGCTATTTTTAATGCCTATGAATGTAACTACTTTTCGATACCGATGCTAGTGAAATATAAAGGAACATAAGGTAAATAAAACCTGGTATTGGTATTTTTCAATAGACCTCTGCATCGCATTCTGGTTGCAGTAAAAAAACCATGCTATCATACACGCAATAAAAAGTATTACCGAGGTAACGGCGCTAATGAATATTATACTCTGCAAAGGAACATTTTAATATTCACCTGTGGCTATCGTAATATGGAAAAAATGGAAAAATGGTACTATGCATTCGTTTCTGTTATAAAAAGTAGAAACTTACTAAAATGAATTCAAAACATAAAGGAAGCCATCTTGTTTTTAGAATATACTGCTACAGTTCAAGTTATTTTCGTTGTTCATCTATTAGTTTCTAACCCGTTCTTGGACAATAACGGCATTTACCGTGAAATTGAATATCAGAATAATATATGATAGTATGTGGGGTACTTGGTACTTGGGTGTAACGAACTGGTGTACGGGGTACTCCGTTTCGCTATACGGATCTCAAAAAGCAACTACGGTCTTTAGGCTCAACTCACATTGGTGCAGAGTCGAAGCGTCGCGTCGCGTCCTATTTTTCAACTACAACGTATGGCGCCACGCGTCGTTGTACGACGATACTCGCATTAGCGCGCCCGGATCACAGTGCTGGACCACTTCAGAGACTTTTGAACATTCGTGAATGGCGCTCGTGCTCAATAGTATACAAATGGTTGATATCGCTCTTATTATAACAGCTCTTATATTTGAAGCTGAAGAGGAAGAAACTGAAATTATATCAGAAGCTGAAGAGAGAAAACAAATAAACGGAAAATTTTGATTCACGAGTTCTGCAAGAAAAGACGTATAATTTGCGAATGCAAAGCACTTTGTAACGATTTAAGCCGGAATTCAAGATATTTATATTATTATCATGTTATATAGATATTCATATTTTTGGATTATTAAATGAATTTTTCGTCTTCTTCCGTTGTCGCGAACTCGTCTCGTCGCAGTTCGGCACTGTGCTATTCCTGGTGTGGGCGGCATCTGACGCGCGTAACCGCTCGACTTTAACCAAACATCGACGTATTTGCATAAAACGAATTTGTACCTTAATAATAGGAGAGTAGAGATGAATATGCTAAAAACATCGGCATATGCTAACAACAGCGCCAGTGTGAGTTGAGCCGCGCAGTGCAATTTCCAACTGCTTTCTGTGTGGTGCTCCCTACAGTTTTTCCATAGACAAGTAGTCATGTGTCGTTATGGCCTTTTCAAATAACTTAACGAAACCGTTTTGCGTTTTTAGATAACGTTGAGAAAACTATCTATTTTTGACAACTATCTACTTCGACTACGGCGCAAGTGACGAAGCGTTGTAAAACGCGACAAGCGCAGGGTTACAAATGATATCATAACATAACTAAAATAAGAAAGCTGCAGTTTGCTTTGTTTTTTTTTTTGCTTAAAAGTGCTAATATCTGGAACTCCAGTTGAATATGAAAAAATATTTTTGCATTTGATAGCCCAAATCTTGTCTATATAACATCACGCTACAACACAAAAATTTTATAAACATTATACACAAAATTACAGGTTTATTTATTTATTATTAAACACTATGAAGTTTCATTTAAAAGAAAACTAATTTGCGCAATCCGCTACGATCAGTAAACAAATAATTAGTGTGCCTAGAACCACGGACGATTACGAGCAAACTAATTAATTACTATCTAACTTAAAAACAACAATCGCAAAAGAAATGGGAACCTGCACTTACGTGTCAAGGTCAAAAGGGCAAAAATTTAAAATTTCCGAAAGTTATTCATTCTAATAACGACTTTCATTCATAACAGCAAAGTCACATTATGCAACTACGAAACGTCATCAATTTCATAGTAAATTCAATCATCCAACCTCGTACTTGTGCAAACGGGACGCGCGTCCTATCATATATCTTACTAGCTCATAACGTTGTGTTGTCGTTGCGTTGCGATGCCTCTACGTCGCCAACCACAACGACAACATCTATTGCGTCATTATATAGAGCGTTGCGAGATAGCAACACTTTAACATCACTACAAAACAAGCGATGGTTGTCAAAAACGCAGTGACAATCTTAACGGGGCGTTGTGAAAAATAGATAGTTTTGCCGGGTTTGAAAACGAGTGATGGTTGTGAAGCCAAATAGATAGTTTTAAAACTATCTACACTAAATAACACCCATCGCTAAGACAAGTATCAACAAGGTACTGACCAAATCCAAAAATTTGCACGTAGACGCATGGACACGGACGTGTTTGCATGATACATGTCAGTGCCATTGAACTTTCTAACAGCAAAAGTAACTTTTATCTAATGTTTAACGCGTGTTTTTTAGTACTGTAGGACTAGCACGAAAGGGCGCGAGTACATACGGCGAATAGATACGGTTATTCTCGCATAGAGATCTCCCGCTTCACGTCACTCTAGCGCAAGTCGGGCCGTATCTCGCCTACTGATTAAATATAGCACATACTTTCTTTTAAGCACACCTAATTATTATATTAGGTACATAAATAAATAGTGTTTTATTGTATTATTATTTATGTCTTTATGTTAGTCTATAAGGTGTGTAATTATGGATATTTGTAACCCGGGGATCTACTCACGTTCTCTGTTCGACATCCGTCCGAAACAATTACTGCCAAATGAGTAATACACTACCAAATTAAGAGACTGTTTTAAGTATGAAGCTTCGTTCGCTTGTCCCTAACGAACGCGGCGAAACTCTTCTACGTATCTGCCCCGTAGATGGTAATCGCGACGCGCGCGGTAAAACTGCAATAAGCGCGCGCTATTGGCTATCTAAATTAGATCTGATTGAGACAGTCAATAATGCGCGCTTATTTAATTTTATCGCGCGCGTCGCAACTACCATGCGTAGCCATGCTCCGGGGCCGAACGGGGTCTTCGTCACACGACTGCGCGATACACGAACTTTTTTTACCTTTCATTTAAAATTAGTGCACCGACTAGTCGCCTTGCGAGCATCAACAAATCAGTTCGGACGGATTTTAGCGGACCCATCTTTTTGGATCGTGAGTATCTCATTTATGTTTTTTCGTTTGGAATACTGTTTTTTTTTAACACTTAAATGTACTGATACATTAAAGACTTGATGTGATTAAGTCAAAAACATCATGATCTAGATACTTATATACTTGATGATTTTTTTCAACACAATTGTTCCGACCGGTTCTCTAAATTACACTGATAGAAGAAGAAGAAGCGTAATAGCAAATCGATGCCCGGGGATTCTTTCTCTGGTGTAAATTCGGTATGACCACCCGCTCAATATTTTGAGAATTATTTTACACGAACCGACACGGTGAGGCTTATTAGGATAAAAAGTACTATAAAGAATAGGTACATTTTAATTCTAATTGTTGATTTTTGTATGTAACAATTGTCTTTAGATTTTATTCCCCAAATAAATAATTAGTATATCAAAATTATTGTTGTTGTATTTTCCTCAAATATATAATATAGGACCGCCTAAATACAATCGTGTTTCTACACAATTGTGCACCTGTTATAATGTGGTCGAAATTAATACAATTGTGCGGGTCAAAGTTTTCCAAGATGGCGGCCGAAAAATGGAAAAAGTTTTCCAAGATGGCGGCCGAAAAATGGAAAATCGACCTCAGATTCGTCATCTACAGGTCAATTTCCGGTACATACAACTTTTTTTTCAGAGAAATTCCAAGTAGTTCCTGAGCCGGTCCGAAAGGAATAATGCGTGTTTTAATTTGCTCGTGTATTACTTATTTGACAGTAATTGTTTCGAACAGATGTCGGACTGAGAACGAGAGTACAGGACCTGATCATAAATAAATTTAATGAAATTTTATCAATATATACACTGTGGTACAAAGAAAAATACTGACATTTTTAGTGAGCTACTATTTAAACACTGTCCATGAACGGGTTTATGCATTAAGTGACGTAGTACTTACTTATCAGCACGTCACTGAAATTGATAATATATTGTTACATTTTAAATGTGACATAATTATTATTCATTTAAAGTTACTCAGTGACGTTCTATATCTGATTAGTATTAGAACAACGTAACCGTATTATTTTTTTATTAAAACACTTTAGAAAACCTATATTCATTTAAAACAGTTGTCTCAATAAATATATTCTTACTTGGATTTCAATCATAATACTTTATTAAATGTTTGCATAATTTTATATATATAGATATGCATCACAAATTAATTAGCCACTTTTTTGTGAGTGCGACATACAACCCAAGTAGTCTTTTTTAACTTCTTTTCGTTTGTAAACGTATATCTTTATGCAAATGTACAGATATTTTATATACAATGTCAAGCAGTATGTACTTCGCGGTCCTCATACCGCATTAATTAATGATTCTAGGCAAATGGTACACAGGTACGTAAGTAAAGGTACGTAATTGGCCTAATCTATTTGTTTTTGTTAAAAAATTGATCCCATATTATTGACATATTTAATTTGTTAAGGACCGACAACATCTTACATATATACGTATTGGCAAATTTAGCGGAACACTAGAAAATCCTCAAAATAATGCAGTGTTTTTGAAAAAGTTTACTTGGTTATTTTACTTTTTTTAGATTAGCCCTAAGTATATTGAAACAAAAGTTCAAAAAATTCGATTATGTTTTGTCCATTTATCTCTTTTCATTTCCTTATTACAGGTTTGTCGAGAGGTTCTAGTTTAAATTTCCGTTCTTTACCGTTCACTAAAAGTATATTTTCATTAAAGTGTGATATAACCAATGTTGAACTGTTACAATTTTGAAATTTTCAGATGTTTTTGCTTAGTTAAAATGTAAAAAAAAATCTATTTTTTTTTTCAGTGAAATATTGAGTAATGGTGCACTAAGTCGATTTTATAATTAATAAATGATATTATTATAAAAAATAAATGATATTATTATTATTATTATTATTATTATTATTATTAATTCTCATTTGTTTAAATATAAGAGTGGTTGCACATAGCGACTTTAACGATACAAACGCGCGAATGCAATCGCCCATAAAACCCAAGTCGCGCGCTTGCATCGCGTTTCCATCGCTGCTTACAATCGCTCGCGTGTTTAAATTTGCGACTGCTTCGCTATTGCATCGCGTTTCCATCGCTGCTTATAATCGCTCGCGTGTTTAAATTTGCGACTGCTTCGCTACTGCATCGCGTTTGCATCGCTGCCACAAGTCACCGTGTGTAACCGCTCTAAACGTTACTGTTTTATATTCTCACTTTTTTGTTCCGCTAAACATGAATTATTATGTTTATTGACAACAAAATGAAATGTACCAAGTTTTTGTGAATTTAACGTCATTTTTCAATCGACAGAGTGCCGGATTCGTTATTTTGCGCGATTGCTTGATATTGCTACATCATTTTTTAGACTTAGAAATCAACTAGGTTCTGTCTTTCTTTGTCAGTTTTTCATCTTAATTAAATTTATAGACTAATATTGTTTAGTAGAATGATACAATTTATATGTTACAACTTTCAAAAACGAGTATTTTTTATGAATAACCTATGAATACGTAAGAAGAAGCCAAAGTTAACTCACCAAAGGTACGTGGGAAGGAAATAATAATAATAACATGCCACAGAACAACACTAATTACCTGGTCTCAAAGTACGGAATTCCCTGTGGGTATCACCCCAAAATAGATAGATAGATATAGAAGGATAAAAATGAAAGTTTTTTTCTGTTTCAAATACTTCTATAGAGAAATGCCCAATAAAAACTAATGTATACATGGTTGGAAATAAACCTATATTTTGTTTATGTCACCACCTTCACCTGACTATTTATTGTCAATAAAATATTTGTACATATCGGAATATGTGTATTTTAAGATAATAATTGGGGCGATATACAAGATAAAGAACATTTATTAAGATTGTGGCACGCAATTTCCCACGTCCGTTACGGACCTTCTGGGAGGGCCAGAGATTTCATCCTCGGAACTACGTGCCCACTGGTCCTAAATGACTGTTGTCAACTGTAAGATGGAGGTTGGGCCAACTACATTACGAGCTCCAAACTGACACCGGAGATGTCTGGAGGAGGCACAAAGACCAGCTGCTGGCGACCAGAGTTCCTCGTCAAAGTTAAGAAGGATAATCTGATATATAAATGCCTGGAAATAATACTACATTTTGTTTATGTCACCGCCTTCACTTGCCTATTCATTGTCAATAAAACATTTGTACATATTAAAATAGTAAGTACATATTATTAAAAACTATTACATTGACCAAAATCTCTACTAGAGAACAATATTACTAAATTGTGCCGTTCCAAGGCCATAAGGACAGAAATATATTTGATGAAATATTACTTATTAAGTAAAATGATGCTAAATCACGTGGTCCTAATATTAGAGACAGATAAATTAACATACGCACTTTATTGCTCAAACACGAACACAGACGAACAGTACATAAACAACTTAACGCAATATCGCTAAGAGCGAATAGAGGCATCAGCCAGACAAAAGCGAGACAGCAGAACAGGTTAATGCAGTTCTATCACACTTTTCGAGATAGAATCTGTAAAATACGCACAAGCAGGCTACTTTACGTCTGTGATCAAGACTACTGCAACGTTTACTCAAGAAGTCAAGAGGAGATCTGCAGAAACCAATTAAAAGTAACCAAACAACAAAAGTTTCTTCAACATAATTCATGGCAGACCCTGTTTAAATATATACAGAGACACATTAAGTAATTTGTAATGATTTTTAACGGGGATTATTTTGGCCGTACTCTTTTTGGACTCTTACTGTATGTACTTCCGTTAACAAACTTGCAGGATTTTTGCAGTATTTCGTCAAAACTGAGGCAGTATTAAGTATGTCGGCATATAGAAACGATTCAAATGCACGACTTTTTTTTTAAAATTTTTTGGTCATCTCTGTTTTTATTTATTTAATTGCTTTATTTCTTTAGTGTTTTTTATAAATTTTTTGTTTATTTTTTTTTCCAAATCGGGATGCTTCATATTAGTAAATAAAATAAGGCCGTTTACATTAAAAACAGAAAGTGACCAAAAAATTACGTTGGCATTGTGTTTTGTTGGCAAAGAACGAGAGACAGGAAATTAAACGATTTATGAAATGGTAGTCCGTCAACATTGAGTATATAACGAGAAATGGAGACGAAATGTCATTTAATTTGTTTCAAAACTATTCTGCCATATCATTACGGTGACAACTGCGCTCCGATTGACCAGCCCGAATTCGAAACAATTGACGGGTGTAGTCAATTGTTTAACGTCAAATCGACCAGTTTAACTTGAGCTTTGCTATAATGGACGGTAATTGAAAAATTACATACTTAATGTTTAATTACCGATGAAATGTCATTCCGTTTGTTTTGCAATTAGATATTGAGTTCTTTGGTTTTCGCGATTGTCACAGTCAACCGTGACCATGGGACCTGTAAAGGGCCCGAAACGTCGGTTTGTTTGAAAAAACAAATATACGCGATTTAAATCTGGAAAAATAGTTGCAATTAGATGTTTTGCTGTTTTTCCTACACCACCTAATGGAACAACCACCCGTAGTTAGAATTATTATCTTTATTACAATAAATACAGAATATTTTTGGAATATACGGAGGCAAAGGCTGTGTGTACACATCTCAGTTGTTGGCGCTGTATTATTTCGCTGTCTAATTTGTGATTTCAGTGCAAACGAGAGTTGATATTTAAAAGTGATATAAGGCCTATTTGCCTTATACTGCCTCCGTGGCCGAACGGTTACCATGCCGGACTGCCACGCAGAGGTCCCAAGTTCGATTCCCGGGCCAGGAGAAATATTTGTATGGCCTACATTTATTTATCTCGTGAGTTGGGGTGTAATTTGTGGTTGTCTATGTGTATGTCCATGGCACCCGCGATACAGGGTTTCCTTAGTGCGGGGCTATGTTGGGTGTGTGCGTTATCATATAACTTGAGATCTTAGGATTTCGCCTAATTACTTGCCAGGGATGGATGGCTCTTATTTCGTCTCTATCTCTGGTTATATACTCGATGTACGTCAATAATGTTAGGGTGAAATCGTAGCCGTGCTTTTTCCCCCTATATGATAGGAAGAGAATAATGAAATTTGTTTGTTCATCTCTGAAACATTTACCGTAATGTGTCTAGTAAAATACCGACCAACAGAGAATCTTGAGTATCTGTAGTTTTGCAGTATTATAGCAGTAGTCAAAGGTGGTAAGCTGGTATTTAGCCGATCGGTCGAACGGAACGTGATCGGTCTTGCGATCGGTATAATTTAAGAAGCAATGCCGCAGTGCTGACGACGGCCTCCATGTATTGTCAGTGAAATTGACCAATATGTATTATACTAAGAAGCTCAAATAGTTGAAATGGATACTTGACGATTAGTGTTGTTCGCATATAGGTTATATTTCTTCTGACCTCTTTTTTCGAATTGAAATTCTCGGCCTGGTACGTCACATTACAGCGATATTATAATAGTTTAATATTAGTTCTCAGATGCGAACTATTATTATAGTTTAATGTGTATTTACCTTTAGAGAGAAGCGACATTTGCCTTCTATACAGAGTCTCAGGAAACGAACCACATGGTTTAAATTTAATATGCATTGTATGACATCAGAATGCAGTTAGGAGCAGTAGAGCCACCTTACCGACATATTTCTGCCGTCGAGCAGTAATGTCAGCATTACTGTGTTCTGGTTTTGAAGGGTAAGGGCGCTGGTGAGTGCGAATTAAAGCTCTGAGCGGTGCTGCAACGGTTATGGACAGGCGCGTAGTACCATAAGACGCACGACTTGCTCGTCTCGTCCCTTGATATTATAAAAAAAACCTTGCACATCTTTGTATTAATAATTAAAAATATCTCAATAATAAATTTGATTAGAAAGCGACATCGACGCCAATTGAAGCACCTGTAAAGGTGCTAGCTGCGGTGAAGTGGGTTCTAAAATCTCTCACTAGATGTCACTACGGTTCAGATGCCGAGAAAATCCAGTACAAAGATCTTTGACAAACACATAGGAGATTTTCGACAACTTGACCCGCAGTTCAGTTGGTAAAAGCAGCTACGGTGCATTATGGTCAGAGGTTCAAGTCACATCGGGTCGAAAAAGTTTTTCTATTAAAGTTTTGTAGTAATAATCGTCTCAAACTAGTGGAATTACTTCACAAAAAATATCACAATGATGTACTTGGACAGTTATGGACCGGCGCAGATAGCATTGCATTTAGTTTGAAATTTTATTAGTCTATAAATTTAATGTAAAGTGAACAGGATGATACAAAAGTTACAATAGTACATTAGGAGCTTATTGTTGTTATAAAAACAAATTATACTTTTTTTAAATTTGTATGGCAAATAGAAAAAAATTACGAATTTGTAGTAGTTATAGGACAAAACGATACCTCCAATGAACACTACGCCAACTTAATTTTTGGACCTGTTCTGTTTTTATTCTGTTTTTTGTTTCCTTTTTTCAGAAATTCGTTTTTTGGTATTTTTTTTCGGATGTCTTTTCTTGGTTTTTTGTTTATTTTTCACAAAATTCGAGGAGCACAACAAATAAATAAAGTAAATAAATATAACTGTTTACAAAAAAAAAACAGAAAATAACCAAAAAATAAAGTTGGCGTAGTGTTAATTGGAGGTATCGAAAAGATGTTTGTATTCGTGGGTACAATGAACCACAAAAAGTTATTAGCGTTTATGCGGCATTTTAAAATTAAGAATAATGTATTTTTTAACTATAAATGTGCATACTTACATATATATATTCTGATGAAAATGAAATCTTATTATCGACTTTCTGAAAAAATAAATCAAATCGTGGTGTACCAGAATGAAATATTTTTGCTAACACTGGAGGCTTGGGTATAAATGGATCCTCGCTAGCCATTAATTTCACAGGAGAATAATAAGGTGGCAAATTAAACTGGGGGTGTGGTAACTGGTGGTGGTCCCATGTGCTATTAAGATCCTTTTCAGCCACCACGTCCGTCATATTTGTCCACTTTAGTGTTACGTTTTCTGATTTTGTAACATTTATTGTTCTTGTATCGTTGTAGCGCCCTTGTAGAATCTTTTCCTTTTTTGGGATCATATGTGTTAGTGTAGTGCGTGTTTTTTGGAGGTTTGAGTATTGATCCGACTTCCCTTGTTTCACTCTGAACTTCGTTTGCTTACCTTCAACATTAGCTAGTAGACAATGAAATTTCATTAGCGTATATTAATACAAGGGATAAATCAGTTCGTCTCAGGGGATCCGTCCGAAATAATTACTGAGTCCGAAAGTAATACTCGGTCAATCCAAAAGATAATATCAAGTTTGAAGCTTCATTAGCATCATGTGTTTTTTAATTTGCTCGAGTATTACTTATTTGTCAGTAATTATTTCGGATGAATGTCGGACGGAGAATGAGAAAGATTTTTATCTACACACATATCATAAATCTTCTACGATGTGTTCAAAATCCGCAAATCAGCATAAAGATAAACTGTTTTGTTAGAACAAATTTCTTATCTGTGAAAATGTTCTTATTGTTGTTATTATTACATTCAAATTTCGAACATCTCTGAAAAACAAAACAATTTGATTCGACCTCGATTCTAATATCAGTCGAGATGAAGTTTTATTCGAAATTAAATGTCATGACAAATTTCACGCGTTACTTGGTATCGAACGATATGATAGTTGGGGCAGATTCTAGTTTGGCTATGAATGAAATGGATGTAGTTAAACAAAAAGGATCCAATGCACATCCAGTCACATGCGAGATATGGCACTATGAAGTTTAAAAATATTTCTCACTCTTGTTTTATTTTCAAAACTTATAATGTCATGTAACTTCAGAGATATTTATTTGTGTTTATATGTTGGATTTTTTTGCTGATCTAAGAAGTTACACTTTAGGAACTGATTAACACATATAACTAATTTTTTGATATTTTTGTGGATTGGATCCTTTTTGCTTAACTACATCCAAATAAAAACTACGGTTGTCTGACATGCGGGAGATAAGTTCGTTTCGTAAGTCGTCACATGCGCTCCCTGAACACATTACAGAGTGATGTGTATAAATAAAGCAGTGTATGTACATAATTAGGTATTAAAACACTCGTGTGATGTTTTTATGATTTTATTATGTAGCCGTCGATAAACTACTATTGAAACCACATTGAAATTTGTAATATGAGTACAATCAGTTTCTTAACCGCTCACGCGATACATGCAGCCGTGGACGCATGCTGCCACAGAGCGTTGCGCGATTCATGCGTCTCTGGAAGTAGGTGGGGGTAGCGCATCGCGTGAGCGGCTAAGGATTAAAAGAGGAACATTTGTATTAAATCTGATAATAGAAGCTGACATATAAATTCAGGAAAACGTGCAATTTAACAATATTACCTTGTCTTTCATGTCCTTCAGGGTCACTTTTATATAATACTATACGTACGTTATCATCAAAATCTGTTTCCAGGTTAAACTAATTTTTCTTAAACCTAGTTAAACAACTTTAGCCTATACGACTTTCATAATCTTCAGAAAAATGTAGTATTGCGAGATAAACCTACTCTGGCGGCAAAGTCACTTCAAATTAATGAGTTTTAAATTTATTTTTGTCAATGACATCCCAGTACATTTAAAAGAAAATTAAAGAGTAGATCTACTTCAACTGACAGATTGATATACCTCAGGAGCTTGCAGTGTTATGTTAATTGAATAATATAATCTCAGTACAGAGTACTAAAAAAACCGACCTCAAAAGTACGTGGAATTACGTCTATTTGCTAAGTTTTACTGAAGTATCCGCTAGTTCGCCACTATACAGGACTTGACACTGGAGATAATAAAAATCAGTTCTCACTACTCAAAGGACATTGAGAGAAAAACGCCTTGAATTGGAGAAATAGCAAAATCAACTATTAAAACAATTGCTCCTTAAGTAAAATTTAGGCGCTATTTATAAAAATGAATCTTCATGCGTGAACAGCCACCCTTAGAGGTGGATGACTTTCTTCAAAATGAAATGGAATCACTATGGAAACACCCCATTCCAACAAAAAAAGAATCATGAAAATCGGTTCACAAATACCGGAGTTATTGCGTAACATACATACAAAAACAAAGTACAGACGAATTGAGAACCTTGTTCTTTTTTTAAATTGGGTTGAAAATAAGTTACTGTCTTTATAAGAATATTTATACAAGAGACGAAAAGGACAAAACAAAAAATTTGGTCGAAACGCTCTAAGAAGCAAACAATTGTTGTAATAGGTAGAGTTATATCTTGTATTTAGTTTAAGTGCATTGCCTAATAGGAAAACCTGGGGTAATCCTTAGTGATATACTGTCGTCCGTTAATTAAAACGCGACAGTGACAAAATATTTTTTTGAGATATCATAAAAAAACATAAGCCAGTTTTAGAATATTCAAATTGTTTAATGATATTACAGCTATGCATAGTTGAGGGTAAGTTCCGATAAATCGAATACGTTAACTAATTTTAACTGTTTACATAAGATAATTTTGTGCTCTATTGTTTGCTATTTTAAAACGGTTATTTGAGCATTTGTCACTTGGCCGCGCTTTAGGTAGTGGACGGCAGTATAGGAGTAATTAACACCACCAAAGCAGTGTGTGGGAGCCTTAAACCCTAGTAATATAATCTAATAGACTTCACTAACAGTTAGTTCCGGGCAAAAATTTTGAGCGGGAAAATTCAAATCAAATAAAATTTTGTTTGTACTTAAGGTGAAAGTTTTGCGTAACTCATGAATAAAACAAGTTGTACATACGGTTGACTGTCAAACGTGACCATGGAACCTGTAAAGGGCCCGAAAGGTCGGTTTGTTCGAAAAAACAAATACACGCGATTTAAATCCGGAAAAATAGTTTCATTTCCTATGTGTAACAATTGCGAAAACCTAAGAACTCGATAAAACGATTTTTTTCGAACGAGATTTTTCATTCGGGCGAACCATTTTTGACCTGAAGGTGTGTTTTCGACGTGCTGATGAAAGCTTCCACTGCTGCTTCTGAGTTAATAAAATTGGTAAAAGTAAAACTTCTCATCAAATCGTTGATTTTAGGCAAAATAAAAAATCACAGAGTGCAAGGTCCGGACTATGTGCAGGGTGGGTTAGCTCTACTTTTTCGGAGGCTTAAAATTATTTTGTTTAGTTGCCTGTTTGCGCAGAAGCGTTATCGTGGTGCAACAGGATGCAGTTTCGTGGTCGTTTCTCTTGGACTTTTTCTAGGACAGTGGGTAAACAAATGGTGGTGAACCACTCAGCATTAACACGTCTTTCATCCTCAAGTAGGATTGTGCAAACGGGATCCGAGCGAGAGAAAAAACCCAATAATTTTTTTACCAACTTTCCTCGCCCGCATCAATTGTCGGTCTGTTCTCGCTTTCGAACACTCATTCATAAGACTGTTTTTCTGATTCAAAACAAGGAATCATATTTCGTCTCGCATGACGATATCATAAACAGCATTGTAATTACCGTTTTCTTTCAATACGAGTCCGTTTTTGTTATGCGATCTGACTCATACCGATCCCTAGATGTCCTCGAATCGTTTCATAGGTGATAGATACGTCGGTTTTCTTCAATAAGCTGTTTCATAGTAGTCACGTTTTCGCCGTAGGTCACTGTTCAAGGACGGCCTTCACGAATCACATCTTTCAGAGATGCTTTGACTTCTGCTCTCCCGATATTTTTTTGTCTCATACAATGACATGATCCTTACATAAAACTGAGTCGATCAGCACTAATAAAAATTTTGATCAATTTTATTCATTTTTATGGACAACTCACGCTTGACCAAAAAATTGACTATGCCAAAATGGTTTTCACAAAGAAAGATTAGATGGTTCCTAATTCAGTTTCCTTGTATACTGTCTTCTATGGTTTCAGATTTCCCCATACTGACCCAGTTAAAAAAAACACTGTATATAATAATATAATAACGATTCCTATGCAGTTATTCTTTTATACGATAGAAAAATTGTAATAGTAATATCTTAATAACATTTGCAGGTTTTACGGCACAAAATTTATAAAGAAAACACTGGTGGGATGTCGAAATTTTTGGCTCTAATACAGTCAAAATTGTTGACAGACTTTCATGAAGAAAGTGTGACGTAATTCAACTTATGCCATACTTCCCAGAGGGTTGCGTAATATAAACTCATTATAATAAATTTGTGACCAATTTAACTTTTAGTGGAAAGAAGCAATAATTTTTGACACACTCTGTGAAAAACCATCCAAAGCTGCGTAATAATCGATGTTTCTGATGCGAGTTACTGTTACACACCGTCCAGTATTTATACTTACATTATAATGTATTTATAATGTAATAAAGTATAAAAGTGACTCTATGGATATGAGACTACCTTTTATTATAAATATTTATTTATTTTTCTGTAAACTCCTTATGACTTTTTAAATGAAATATGAAGATTCTGGATATCTATCACACGAGTCATGATGACCTGATGAGGTGAGATGGAACTCAAGTGAAGATACGTAGTTCGTAAAAACAAGTATTTTAGATAAATAAGCTGTTGACTAGTTTCTTTGAACTGGCCCGGCATCCCTAATTGTATACCTAGAGCTGCTAAAGTACTAGTCAAAGGTGTGTTTTAACTTACTTTTCTCTTTAGATGGTGTTTTTTCCATTTCATACATGGGCACTTGTATATAATCCACTTTGTCAGTGTGCTTATGCTTATTTTTGTCATTGTCTTCGATTTCTTCTTCGGATTCCGATTTATCAAAATATATGTATTCCAGTTTGTTTATGTCTTCTAACTCATGTTTATAAGTTTTGTGCTTGCTATGAGTTTGCTGATTAAACCTGTATTCAGGCGTATTTGTGTATGTTTCGCGATTTTTTACATGTTCTATAACAAAGATACCTGGTTTTCTGGCTTCCAAGTTGAATATATATTCAGATTTAGTGTTATCAATGGGTTCGTTTTGTTCCGCAAGTTTTGGTTTGCTTGCGTGTTGCTGATCATTGTAATTCCAATCGTTTACATTATTACTGTCGTAGTCTATTACATTAATTTTATCAGTGGAATGTTTAATACTTGAATCTATTTCATCTAAAAAGTTTGAGTCAATAATATTCTTAAATGAAAATTCTTGTTCATCGTTTTTCAGATTATCCCCTTGGCCCTGTTCAACGTCATGGTTCGAGTCGTGAATAAATTTTTTTATTCTAATGAGGTCCAATTGGTCATACTGAAGATTCGCTGTATACTTTGTTCTATTTTTCAAGTCCATACTGTCTATATAATCCTCCATATTTAAATAATCCATTACATTTTTATTAGTGTTTTCTTTTGCGAGTTTGAAATTTAAATATTTCTTTGTATTTGCATTTTCTGATTCGTTCGAGCATTGTGGTTTCTTTGTGGAGTTTAATACTTGTCTCGAGTTCTTGTCTTGTGTAAATGGATTAATTAGGTTTAATTTACGTTTGTTTTTAGACTTTTTACTGTAAGCCCGTTTGTCCAACATTTTACAAAGGTTCCATGTGTTAGTTTATAAGGAAAATTAACTTATGAATTTAAACATAACACTTGCGTGAAATTATTACCTATCTTCTCCTTTTTAATCGTCGCTGATACTTAGCAATTCATTGTACGTTAACTACCTGTGCCATGAAACTCAGTAAATAAGTGTAAATGCATTAACACGTATGATAAAAAAATCTTCAAACAAATTTATCAAAATGTTTGCATTCTAACCAAAACCACATTCAAACTAAGTGAGTAAAGTAATCTGATATTACATTATCCAAAAAATAAAATAAAACAATAAATTTGAAATGACTTTTGATTGTTTGTCATAATCCCCTACATGTAAAATAGTCAAAAAGAATATAATACTTATTTATCCATGGAATGCAAAGAGAATAATTTAATATATTATTTGTGAATTTTACTCTATGTTCAAGGTAAATCAAAAACAATCAAAACGGTTCATAATTATTAGCCACCTGACTAAGTGGACATAAATATAAAACCATAAATGGGGATATCAGCGCAAAACATGCACATTTCGTCGCTTAAATGCAAAACGGCCGCAAAAGTCAGAAGTTCATTTTTTACACGAGAGGCCATTGACTTACAATTATATGGACGCTAAAAAGTGTCCGAACTTATAGGGCGTTAAAATCGTATACAGAGCGTCATTCACGCCTTAGTCTTCGTTTGTTTCTTCTGACAGCGAAGCAAGCAAAATTAGACAGTACTGCGATGACATTACAATTTACATTCAACGTTTTAGCTTTTTCATATTCCTTTACATGTTACTACGTTTAAATAGGTTGACTTGGGACATTTTTTCGTGGTTTTTGTATTAGACCCGTCGTCCATTTATTTCTAAGTCAATGCGAGAGGCTATCAAAGTTTTCAAGCTCACCCATGTATTTCTAATGGAAAGATGTATTTTAAGGCACCATATATTTGTGGGCAGAGATTTGCGTTAGCTTTTCATCGAAGCCGTAAAACAACACATAAGGCTCTTTAGCACGTAAAAAAATAATTGAATATCAATTCAATAAAAATTTAATTAATACAGTGAATAGCGACATCTCTCGCCAGAACTGGTAGCTGTAAAGGTACTAGCTGGGTGATAAATCTGCAATAGATTTCTCATAGATGGCGCTACGACTAAAAAGTCGTTGAAAGACCAAATACAAAAACACGACCCAAGCACATAGAAAAATTCGTAAGGTCCGTTGGTTCGTGCCGTGGCTTAGTTGGTATAGCGTCTGCCACGGTATGCAAGAAGACGTCGGTTCGAATCCGACCGGAAGGAATTTTTTCTGAGTGTTTTTTCTGAGTGTTCGATCTTTGTATTAATAATTATAACAAACTAGTGGAGTAATTTCACAAAAAATAACTGAATATCAATTGAATAAAAATTTAATTAATAATTAATAACGCTCACAATCAACATAGCCCCGCACTAGGGAAACCCTGTGTCGCGGGTGCCATGGACACACACATAGACAACCACAAATTACACCCAAACTCACGAGAGAAATAAGTGTAGGCCATACAAATATTTCTCCCGGCCCGGGAATCGAACCTGGGACCTCTGCGTGGCAGTCCGGCATGGTAACCGTTCGGCCACGGAGGCAGTTTATTAATGTAAAACAATACTCAATATAAGTTCCAAAGAGTATGAGATTTAAAAAAATGAAACTTTCAGGTATAGAAACCGCTGCATTACTTCATTTTCATTACTTCGTCCTTAATAATTTTATTTATATCCACATTAATGACAACTTTCACAGCAAAGTATATAGATCCGTGGGGATTCCCGTCCATTTTTTTGCTTTTGGTGTGATGTAAATCATCTTTGATCGACTTAATACAAAGGTTACAAACCAATTACCAGTGAATATACATAATTTACTAAGTCTGGAATAGACGATAGATTATGTCAAAGGTAAAAGATAAGCTCACCTATGTACATCGCACATGACAACTAGAGTTTGGCCACTGAAAGCTGGAGGTCTATTCTCTTTCTTGAAAACGAAATTTCGTTAACGAACGATATTTAAACGAAGCTTCGTCAATAACTTTAATTCTTTTCCGGTCGGGTCCAAGAATTTCGTTGTCATTTACAGTTTTCGTGAACGACTGGAATTAATGATATTGTGTCGGTCTTTTTTGATGTCAACTACGACAAATTACGGTTTTTACTTTATACAATTGTTTTGCTTTATTTTTAAATTTTATATTTAATATGTGGTTCATTAAGCATTTATTGTAATATTCATGCAGAAAATACTTAGAGGATGGAAAAAAATAAAGGAATAGTCTAAGAGAAGATATAAAGAAACAAATAGAAATATATTTTTGACGTAATTGGCCGAAAGGCTATCAAAATACTCGTTGTTATCCGATTTATTTGAAGAGTACCATTTCATGCAAATTATAGGTGGCAAAAGTGTGGCAACCAAAAATCCCCGTATTCCGAAGCTATATTCTATAAATTATATTCTTTGTAAACTTATCGTACATAATATTTACAAATAAATATCAAAATGAAGGCATTTGAAGCTCTTGGCGAGATTTCTCGTAATCAATATCTCCTAAAAAAACTAAAATATAATGCAGTAAACTGATTTTATTTCTTCAACTTGCACAATCTTTATGTCCTTGAGTAGAACTATAACTTGTAAATATTTTCCGAAATTTGCACTAGCACTCTTGTTCTTCGGCTAGCATGCAGAGCTTGAGCTGAAGAAGCAGCTAATTCAGAGGCACCCTTCTTCAGCCTGGAGTTAGTTTTCTCCCAACTCGAGAACAATAATCGTGAGCTCGTTTCCATAACGTCTTTCTTTTGAAAGTGATAAAGGCACTATTTCTTGGCATTACTCTTCAAATAGAAATGTGCAATGTTATATGCAATAATAAATTGCCGATTGAGTTTGTAATTTCCTACAAACTATAAGTCGGGAAATTCACATTTATACGTAGTTGGTTGCACTGGCGCGATGGCGGCGACGACGGTTTTTCCTACGCTCTGAACATTCTACAGGCAGAGCCTTAATCAAACTGTAGCAATGCTAATTTTGTTAATTTGACTTTATAATTCTGAAGAATTATCTGTCAAAATCAAATTTTCGTTCTCGTGTTCGAAAAACTAAGCGTCAACCAATTTTCGTTGGATAGAAATTTCGCATTGAAATGGATTTGTGGTAAGAAACATGCGAAACTTCGATCGAAATTTCGTTTTTCGTTGAAAAAGAGAAGACCTCCAGAACCCAGTGGTTTTTGTAGCGGCAACACAGCTATAAATGTCATTATGACATTTAATGGCGTAGTTGGATTATCTTGTATTGTTGTGACTGCCTCCGTGGCCGAACGGTTACCATGCCGGACCGCCACGCAGAGGTCCTAGGTTCGATTCCCGGGCCGGGAGAAATATTTGTATGGCCTACATTTATTTCTCTCGTGAGTTTGGGTGTAATTTGTGTTTGTCTATGTATGTGTCCATGGCACCCGCGACACAGGGTTTCCCTAGTGCGGGGCTATGTTGAGTGTGTGCGTTATTATTATTATTAAAAAAAAAGCCCCATATTTAGGGCCGAAACCACTAACTTGGCAACACCACTTAATAGCTTCATTGCGTTTATAGTTTGGTTTCTTCATTCTATCCCTCGTCCCACAAATTTTTATAGTATTCTTTCTCCCCTTAAACCTCTGCTACTATTTATTCTATTTAAATATATTGAACAAATAACATACGTCTATAACACTTATTATGTGCCCAGCATGTTTTTATGTTTTGCTTACACAGTAGTTTGTCAAATAACCTCGTGTTTTGTATTTGTCCATAAGATGATACAACCGATCATCGTCGCTTGAGTGCGTTCTTGGCAATCTTGATATAAACCGTGTATCTTTCAACCCGGACACTGGCAGATTTGTCCTCAGTGGGACAGTAGCCAAAACAAAAAAAAATTGTAAATTTCTTTTTGAAATATGACTAAAACTGTAAAGAGGGCTGTTCGGCAGATTTTATGTACTATGATTAGTAAATACAAACATAAACACGACCAGCAAATCGCTTTATTGAAGCAAAATGAGGAGTATTTACAGGTTGCCATTGTATTCATTATAATAATTTTGATAGTCAATAACATACTATAAATATAAATGAATTGTTTTATTTTGTGCTGTGCCCTTACAGGGTCCGTAATGTAATATACTTAAACACATTATGGTCTGCAATAAAGTATTGAGTATTAAGTATGTGGTACATGATTATATATTATTTAGCAATAATTTATATTTCTTTTTTACAGAAAATAATGGCTTGAATATTGAAGAAGCTAGTGCAGCTTTGCAAAATCTCAATAAACTCAAAGAATTGGAGGTACAAGAATGCCTCACTCAGAATAAATATTTCCAAGAAATTACTTTAATAACTGGTGAGTAGGTATTTAATATTGTTTGGTGTTTTGAAATTGTATTACATAGCTAGTAGCTGCTACCATCCTGCATATTCATATTGCAACAGTTCATAATGAGTTGATGTTATGAGCCCGAGCTGACCAATAAATAAAGTTATTGTATATCTATCTAAATATGCTATCATTGGCATTTTTCACACAATTGGCTAAAATTGGGTGTATCACACATTTAGCATAAATTACTTAAATATTTATTTTATTGTTACAAACTATGGCCTCAGTTTTACATAATTGTTTTTGTTGTTTTTTTTAGAACTTAGTATCTCCACCTTAAAAAGAATTAACAATGAAGGCAAAGTAAACCAGGGAATATTCAGCACCCCAGGCAAAAAACGCCCTAACAAAGCGAGAGTATCCAACTTGGACAGCTTTGATATTTAAGTGATCAGAAATAAAATTAATGAATTGTAAAGAGCAAGTGCCCACGCTTAGAGGCCTCTTAGTAGATTTAAAGGAAATAATTGCATTGCAACAGATATTACCCAACGGATTTGTATTTAACCAAAATAAAAACCAACGTTCGCTGCTCATTGAACGATACGACATCAAAGCGTGGCGACATAAGCTCTTGAGGACTATAGCTTCAAAGCGTGAACAAGGTAAAAAAAATGTATTCCTAGGTGAGACGCATGTACATCAAAATTATAAACCAAAAAAGTCATGGCGCACGCCGTCGTCGGCACAAGATATTATCGACAATATATCGTCAGGAGGACGATTCATTACCGTTCATGCTGGAACACAAAATGGTTTTGAAGCAAATGCATTATTGGTGCTCAGTACAAAGTCCATTAAAGCTGATTATCATCATGACATGAATGCTTCAAACTTTAATAAATGGTTGAGTGAAAAACTGATACCAAATTTAAACGAACCTAGTGTCATTGTCATGGACAATGCTAGTTACCATACGGTACAAATAAATAAGGCACCAGACACCAACAGTCGCAAAGCAGAAATACAAGATTGGCTCCATTGCAATCACATTTCTTTTGAAGATTGTCAATCAAGAGAAGAACTTCTGTGCTCGATTAATTAATTGAATGAATGGATTTGTTAAATTGAGTCTTCTAGCCATATTTAAGATTTCCGAAATCTTAATTTATTATTAATAAGCAACTATAGACAGGTCATGGATGTATTTTGAAAATAACATCACTTTTGGACTACCATTTTTCACATACAATTTTGCGATGCTGTTCGGATGAATGTTGTTGGAGACAATGGTGAGATATCAAGTCGATGTCTTCGAAATATACGTGAATGTGTTGCTTGTTCGATATATTGAGTGATCAAACACTCTTGTTTGCTGTTTGTTCGGAATGGATTGGAACAGACTTTACATTCTTTCCAGAATTGGTTACCTACGAGACAGGCTTTGCCTAGTGTAGGAGCCAGTGTAACCGGTTTAGATAAAGTTTAAAAGTGCATGTCTTAAACATACGTATTCCATAAGGTGTAATATGTTCCTGTTCCTGTTATCGGTAACTGAACTGTATTTATTTTTATGTACAAATAAATAAATTACTTACTTACTTACTTACTTGATTGATAAACGTAAACCTGAGTCTATCTATAAAGCTGATGAAATTCTAAAGGAACATGGTCATGAGGTGTTGAGGCTTCTACCTTATCATAGTGACCTCAATCTTATTGAGCTTATTTGAAATACAGCAAAACGAAACGTTGCCAGTAAAAATATAGCGAGATCAGCACCAGAAATGGAAAAATTAATAAAAGAATGCTTTAACTGCATAACTCCAGAGGAATGTAACAAGATGGTAAATCATACAATTCACATTGAAAATATATACAGAGGAAGCGACGGAATTACAGTGCAAATGGAAGATTTCATCATAAATGTATGTGATGACGACTCTAGCGATTCAGATGAATCGATGGGAATTGAGTATCTGGAGTCAGACTTTGATTACGGCAGCGAATAATAAAATTTTTACAACACCTATATGTATACTGATGTAACAAATAACTTTGAAACACCAGTCAGGGTGATTCCACTCATCATAAAAATCATATAGGTTCCTTAATATAAGATGTTCATGAGTAGACCCTTTGACAGCCTTTTCAGTTATGTGTTGCACCCTATGTGATAGGATTTTACTCAATATATATTAGACACTTAAGAGTAAAAATGCATTTATTACTGTCAATAAATGATTTGTTTATTTCTATTCATCTTTTACTTATATTTTATTTCCATTCTGATCTGATTATTTCCATACAGTTGTGTAAATAACGCCCCACTCTTATTATTAACAAACGGGACTTCGGGGTTCAGTACATTTGAAGTTTTGCTTACCTACCTTACATCTGGTTTATACGTTGCATCGGCGTTTGGTTTACATATGTGGACACATGAGTGTAAGGGCATGTATTTATTTCTAGGATTCCAATCTCAAAAAAAAAAAGGTATCAAAACTATAATTCCTACTATGTACACTTGTACAGTATTAAAAGCTTAAGATTTTTTATATTTGCCGCGCTTTGTCAGTTCATGTTTCACTACCCACTAAAAACCTGTGTATGCACACTCACCCACCGCACATGGGATCCCGTTAAGACTCGCCACTCATCTTGGTGGTTGTCCTCTTCCTTGTACCTCACGTTATGGGAGATACCCAGGTGCACTTGGGTACCTCCCCGGTCGGGCAGCATTGTGCCCTGGGGTGTTTCAGTAGCCAGACTCTAACATAGTATTATCTCAAAATGATTTTAAGTTATATATTAACATTACATGTGGTCTGAGAATATTACCCATTTCGTTTTAAAGCGACGTTGAATGACACATAAATATGTCGAAATTTTGGTGATAAATTATTAATATAATAGGGGTTAAAGTATGAAATTGCCGATTTGTACTGAAAATCTAAATTGTTTATTTTTTAAATTTTTAACAAATTTATTTAATCAAAATAGTTGCCATTATTATCTATACATTGCTGCCATCTAATGGGAAGGTTATTAATGCCTTTGCGATAGAACTCCGACGATCTAGACTGCACAAACTGTGTGAAAGCATTTTGTACTGCCTCCTGGGAAGAAAACTTCTTGTCACGTAGATAATTGTCCAAATCACGAAAAAAATGGTAGTCCGTTGGAGCAAGGTCTGGTGAATACGGAGGATGACGAATGGTTTCTAACTGCAGTTCCTGAAGGGTCAAAATGGTTTCTCGTGCTGTGTGAGGTCTCGCGTTGTCGTGGAGCAATAATGGTGAAGATCGATTCATGAGTCGGGGCTGTTTTACTGCTAGTTTTGTCAACATGGTTCGGAGTTCGGCACAATAGACATCTGCCGTTATTGCTTGACCAGATTGGAGAAAACTATAGTGAATAACACCATGCTGAGACCACCAAACAGTTACCATTACCTTTTTATTGGTAAGTTTTGCTTTAGGACACTGTTGTGGCATTTGACCTGGGGTCAGCCATTGCATTTTTCTTTTCCGGTTATCATAAAGAATCCACTTTTCATCACATGTTACAATTCGATCCAATATTCCTTCATTTCTGTACCGGTTCAACAAGGCAACACAAGTTTCAACACGCGTTTCTTTCTGCAGATCAGTCAAATCATGAGGCACCCATTTTTTGTAATTTTTTATTTAATTGATTTGACGCAAGTGAGTCAATATTGTGGGTAAGGTAACTTTAAACCATGCCGCTAATTCCTGGGTAGTTTGACTAGGATCGGCTTCCACTATCTCTCTTAATTCATCGTTATTCACCTGTGTGGGCGGTCTTCCTCGTGCCTCGTTCTTTAAGTCGAAATTTCCATCACGAAAGCGTTTAAACCAAAATCGCACGGTGCGTTCATTAGTAGACCCCTCTCCAAACGCAGCATTGATATTGCGGGCTGTTTCTGCCGCGTTAGTTCCGCGTCGGAACTCGTATTCAAAAATCACTCGAATTTTCGCAGTATCCATCTTTCTT